TAAGCAATACTAGAGAGGCTACCTTAAATGCTCTTCCCCTATAATGAAATTGATGACCACCTTAAATGTGTATCATAGAGCCTTCACCCAGTAGCTGACAGAAGTAGAAGCAGAGATCCACAGCTAAACACTGACCCAAACTTCTGGAATCCAGTTGTAGAGAGAGAGGAGTGATTAGCAAAGACCATGGTGTCAAGACCATGCTGGAGAAAACCACAGAAACATCTGACCTGAGCAAGTGGGAGCACATGGACCTCAGTTTGACAGTTGGGGAACCAGCATAGGACCGAATCAAGCCTCCTGAACATGGGTGTCAGTTGGAAGGCCTGGGCAGTCTATGGGACCTCTGGCATTGGAACCAGTATTTATCCCTAATGCATGAATGGGTTTGGGAGCCAATTCCCCATGGAGGGATACTCTCTCAGCCTAGATACCTGGGGGAGAGCCTAGGCCTTGCCCCAAATGATGTGACAAACTTTGATGATCCCCCATAGGATGCTCCATCCCCTCTGCGATGTGGCGTTGGTGGGGGGGGGCATGGGAAGACAATAGGGAGAGGGGACTGGGATTGGTATAGAAAATAAGATTTTTTAATTTAAATTAGAAAATTAGTTAAAAAGACATAAAAGACAGAATATGATAAAAATGGATACATTGGTCAAACAAAATGTTAAATCTAAAAATTTCCTCACATAAAACATCTGGTACCCAGTGTAAAGACCAATCTAAGAAAAATAAGTATTGAAGAAGGAAAAGAAACCTAGCCCAAAGCCCAGAAAACATTTTCAACAACACACAGAAGAAAAATTTCCTAGCCAAAAAGGAGATGCCTATAAAGAAGCACACAAAACACCAAATAGCCTGGGCCAGAAAAGAAGTCCCCTCAGCACACAATAAGCAAAACACTAAATGTATAGAAGAGAGAATATTAAAAGTTGCAAGGGAAAAAGAGCAATTAGACCATGTAACGGCAGACCTATTAGAATTACACCTGACATCTCTTCGGGACATTGAAAGTAGAAGACCCTGCACAGATGTACAGCAGACTCTAAGAGACCACCAACACCAGCTAAGACTACTATACCCAGCAAAACTCTCAATCACTATAGATGGAGGAAATAAGATATTCCATGATAAAACCAAATGTAAGCAATATTTATCAACAAACACAGCTCTACAGAGGGTGCTAGAAGGAAAACTCCAATCTAATGATAACTACAACCATAGAAACAATGACCCCAGATCAGCAAGATCAAGGGAAAGGAAACACACACACACACACACACACACACACACACACACACACACACACACACAAACACACACCATCACTACCACCATCATCACCACCACCATCATCACCACCACCAAAATAACAGGAATCCACAGTCATTGGTTATTGATATCTCTCAATATCAATGGTCTCAATTTCTCAATAAAAAGCAACAGACTAACAGCATGGATGGGAAAACAGAACCAATCACTCTGCTGCATATAAATTACACACCTCAACAATAAACATAGGTATTTCTTCAGGGTAAATGGTTACAGAAAGATATTCCAGACAAATAGACCTAAGAGAAAAGCTGCTGTAGCCATATAAAAAAGTAGACTTCAAACCAAGACAAATCAGAGGATATAGGGAAGAACAGTATAAAGTCATCAAAGGAAAACTTCAGCAAGGGACATTGTAATTCTTAACATCTATGCTCTGAACACAAGAGCATAGTAAAAGAAATATTACTACAGCTTAAATCATGTACTGACATTAACACACTGATAGTGGAAGACTTTAATGCCCCATTCTCATCAATAGACAGATCATTTAGAAAGAAAAATAAAACAGAAATGCTGGGGCAAGTAGAACCCAATAGTAAAGGTGATGGGTTTCAGAGGTCTGAAATCAAGCCCTGGAGCAAGGACCCCTTCCAGTGATGCTGAGACTACCCATCCAGAAATGTTTAGGAATCCAAGTCAATGCAGGACAAGCATGAGGGTCCAGAGGAATAAGTACAAGAATGGGCCCTGCTACCTACACAGTCCTCTAACAGGGCTCCAATGTAGTTGGTTGGACACATGCATAGTTATAACAGCTGGGAAATAATGAATGAGTCTATAGTTATAAAGTATTCTGTTGTGAGGAAAAAGAAAGCTGCTGGATAGTGCAGAATATGAAAATGGTCTACAACAAAGGGCAATGGGCTGCTGGGGTATCCATTTGAGAGAAGTCCTTTTATGATTAGGGTCAGTACCTTGGAGTACAGTTTCTTGGCACGTGATCCACACCACACCATGTAAAGAAAGACAATCCTGATGGACTGACATACAATTCTGGGATTAGCATGAGTTATTATGAATGTAATTTCTATGTGTGCAATCTCAACCATGCAAGTTGGGGTCATGTAAACTAGGGACATGTAAATGAGTGTAGTCCTAGCAGTTCAAAGGCTTCAGTCACTGGGTATCAGGAAGCTTCTCTGTGGTTACAGTATCATGTGCCTAGTAGTTCTGAGTTCCTGGACCACGTTGATGAAAATTCCTAAAGGGGATCAGCCTCCATTTTCTAGTCTCTTATTAACAACCTTCCATCCACAGAGCTATGTGAACACTTCCTATCCCACCTCAATCACTCACATCCCCTGCAGGGATACCACACTGCTCATCTGTGATGCATTCTTTCCCTGGGTGGGGGAGACATGTGTCAGCCAGGGGCATCCTATAAATGCAGGGCCTGCTCCACACTGCCAAACGCTGTGTGACTCCTCACCTTCGGTAAGTGAGCTCAGTTTCCCTAGGCAGGGGGCTGCTGGCCTGTTTCTTTTTCCCCTCCTCTGCCTGTCTTTCTTCCACACCATTCTACTGGATCCCCCTTCCCTTGCCTTGGCAGCTTTGTAGCTTCCTTCAACTTTGTGAACGTTTCTTGCTATAAAATTCTTCAATTTTGTTATTCTCTACATTGTCTAAAATGCATCTCACATACGTGTGTGACAGGATGGTACCCCACTGAATGGCACCCTGTCCTTCCTCTTATGGTGTATGTCCCTGCCTTTCTTGCCCGATAGAGGCCATAAAGGAGATCAAGGATGCTTGATAACCCATTCCTTTACATGCCCATTTGCTTCTCCAGGATTCCAATAGCCTGCAAGAAAGACAGCCCTCAATGTCACAGATGGAACAAGGCATGGAGACCATCATCAAAACCTTCCACCAACACGCTGGGAAAGAGGGAGACCCAGACACCCTGAGCAAGAAGGAATTCAAACAGCTGGTGAATAAGGACATGCCAAACTCCTTCAAGGTAAGGCCTGATTAGTGAGGGAGGAGGGTACAGCCTGCAACAGTCAGGAAGAAAATTCCAGCACCTTCCACACAGCACTGCAAGGGCTCAGTCATTGGAGGTGGACAAATGTAGACAGTAACAGTCAGGAACTGAGCACATGTAATGTGTGATGCACTATTGTGGGAAAACACATGTAGAGGAGAACCTGAAACCGATGATGTGATGATAACATTAAGAACACAGACAAAGCCAACATCCTGGGAATGTGGAGCAGGATAAAATAGAGTCCTAGGGTTGGTCCATGCCAGGTTCAACAGAGTAAAGCAGGGAAACCTCGCTCTTTGAGGTGGTGACATTTGAGCTTAGATGTTATCCCTGGTAATGAAGACACACAAGGACAGCTCTTGACTGGAAACTGAGGGACACTAAGCTTCAGGTGGGGACTCAGTAGACCTGAGGGTCTACGGTGGACAATGCATGAACCAAAAGCATGTGGAGAGCACCCAGCACGGCACTGGCATACAGAAAGCACTGTCAAGTATCAATAAATCCACCTGCTCAAAGATGCATAGTTGCTTCTAGGTACGGGGCTTCATTCAAAGGCCTTTGTGTTCTCTTTCCAAATCCAGGCAGGAAGGAAGCGAATAACATGTGCCATGGGTCCCAGTGTCAGTTGATTATAATGTGTAGCCTTGTAGACCAGTCAGCAGCCCTCTTAGAGTGCCTGTTAAAGTGGAGAAAAGCTACTGTGGGAGATATCAGGGACAAAGAGAGCTCCCCGAAGTGAGGACCTCAGGTGAACAAGGTGCTACTTCCAGGAAGACAGGGGGTACACAAGAGCCTCGCTAGACAAGTCTCCCCCACCCCACCCCCGTGTGATCCCTCCATTACTCTATCAACTCTCTCAACATGCATGGCCAAAGCACTGGAATAGAGCAGGATGCACTGGCCTCCAAGATGGGCTCATAGCGTTATGGGAGGGTACTTAGCCAAGATGTTCCAGCCAGTGGGTGGAAGAACTGAAGCTGGCTGGTGCTCTCTGCTACTCCTGGATCCTCCCACTTCATATAAGTTATCACAGCCTTTGAGGTAGGCAGAGCACCTACCATTATCTACCCCTTCAAGATCCAATAAGGCCTGTCTTCCTGAGTGCCTCCCCTCTAAGAAGAGGGAGGTGCAGATTCCTCCACATCAGATGTTAATGTGTATGACTTCCACAACCTATAAAAACTACCTTTCAGGAGACCAGATTCCTAAGATCCTCTTCACAGCAGACTTCATTATCACTTGTTCTAGTGAACAACAAAGAATATTTCTAGACCCACATATAGTTCTCTGACTTTTTCCGTTAACAGTCCTAGTGTCAAAGGTGGAGGTCTGTCTCAGGAACAAACTGGAAAGTGTTTAGCATATGTCCAGCATTTCCTCCATCATGAACACTCAGTCCATCAATTCTATGTTTGAATTTATTGCCTAGGTTTGCATTCTGATCACTCACAGTGCTTCCTAGTTTACTTCTGTGCCCACGACCAGCACTAATAGCCATCACTCTTCTACCCACAGAAAGAAAAGAAGGATGAAAAAGCCATGAACCGCATGATGTAGGATCTGGACAGAAATGAAGATGGTGCTGTGGATTTTGATGAATTTTTAACCCTGTTAGTTAAGGTATTGATTAAGGACCACAAGGAGATTCATAAGAATGAGTCCTCACGTGACTATGGCAATGGTCGCAGCCCTGGGCCAAGCCTCGGAGAGGGTGACCATCGCGACTGTCCTAACAAGTAATCAGAAGGCCAAGTCGGTACCTGCCCAAACAAAGCTATAGAGAATGCTGTATCATATATATCTTTGGTTGTAGAACTGTGGGATTGGGGAACAATAAAGTCTCTATGTAAGTGCCCTCCACAATGCTCCTGATTCCTGGACTGCTCTTGCTCATAGCTCAAGCCCCTCCCCTGCCATATCATCATAATGAAATAACCACTAGCAACTTGTCTGTCTGCTCTGAACTCCTAGGAGTTACCTGTGATAATGTGACCATCTTGTACTTCTGCCCTATATTTGAGTGGGAATTCCCATGATTAGCCTCTCCATGTGACCCTTGTCACTGCAGAAACAAAAGCAGCTGGTCTCCACTCAACATGCCAGCCATTTCCAACCCAACCAGCCCCAGCCCGTCTTCACTGATGACTGTCCACAAATTCTTCTAATAGAACCCCATTCCTATAAAGGTTTTCCTGAAATGGACTCAGGGCAATGCTATATAAAAGTTTTCCTGAAATGGACGCAGGGCAATGTGTGGAAGAATACTTGAACCCTAGCAGTAGAAACAACGGAGTATGAGTACCTAAAAACTTATTTAGGACTCAATACTGCCTTCTGTGTAAACTTACAATTGTAAGTTGTTAGAGTACAGTATCCTTATCTGTAAAGGAAGGTAGTGATGTTTTCCCTCTGATCAACCCTGCAGAACAGGGAATGGTGCTAACTGGGCAATATCTGTGAAGATCTTTGTAAACTGTGACTGCGGGGGGGCTCCCAAAGGAGGCTGGATTTGTTACATGGCCTCCTGTGCTTCCTTTGAGGAGCTTCTGGGGTGAGGGACCCTTAAGTCAGTGGCTCACAGCTGTCCCCACTTGTCACTGGAGAACCCTGGGTTTTGGTTGTCTTAAAGATGAGAGGTAGGAGAACTTTCTCTACGGTGTTCCCATTTTCCCCCAGTGCGGGGGGGGGGGGTCTAGGTTTTGAGGAGAGAGGATATCTAAACAATGGACACTTCCATGCCCAGAACACCAGAGGGCTCTTTGCTGGCCCAAACAACAGCCAAGGGCTTGGTTGGTTTCTTCCTCCTTACCTAGCAGTTCCCACCTTCAGCCTCCCAGCTCTGTCCCTCCTCTAACATCACCTCCTCCTAACTTTGTTCTCCCTAGTTTTAGACTCTAAAATTTTACCCTCTAAAATTTAGAGGGTACTCTTCCATGGGGTTGGAGCACTGAGGCTTTAGTTTCTCAAAAAGGAAGGAACAACAGGAATCTTCAACAAAGATCAATCACCAAGATACAGCTTTTAAGGCTGACTCTAAGTAGAGTCACTAAAGGAACTCATGAAACTAGAGCAGGGCTGAGAATACCAGGCTGTGAAGAAGTCCAGGTTCCTTCTCCTTGGTAAGTAGCCATATTGACTTAACTCCTTCCATGTGCAGTCTTCAAGAAGCCCAACCATCAGGGGCCAGAGGGATCTGTGGACCATGTCCCTGACATCAGGAATGTCATGTGAGTGGAGATGGGTCTGCTCCACTTCTCTGAGGGCTGTGGTGCCAGGTGTGTGTTAATTACTGTCCCCACTTTCTTCTCACACACTGGAATTCTGTCAAAGACATAAAATTATGATCTCAGGGAATAGTTCACTATGTGTCCTCATTAGAACCTCAGACCTGTCGCCATCATGTTCATTCATGATCCTTACCTCCCAAATATTACACTGCTTCCTTGAAAGTTCTTATTTATTTATTTATTTTTTATTTTTATAACCAAGTCAATTTAAGTGAAAACAAACATTTATAGACAATATTTGGGAATTTGGGCGTTGTTCTTTCCAAACTACTTCCTGTTGGTAAGGGGCGCTGTCATGGGAGATTGGAAGAAGATTCAGAAATCTTGGCTGTAGTCTGTCAGGCTGCTTTGTCCAGCTGTTTTGAATGTAGGATCACCTGGTAGTGTTTCAGGTGGTCTGCCTTGATCAAACCACATTAGTCTGGAAGGAATCCACATCTTTTCATTTTCTGTGGAAACAAAAATAGAAATCCTTTTCCCCAGTAACTTGTCCTTGAACTTAAATTTTGGAGTCAAAGCATTTTTTAAAAATTTATTATTTCACATATGGATCCCAGTTCCCTCTCCCTCCCTCCCTCTCTCCCTCCCTCCCTTCCTCCCTATCTCCCTCCCTCCCTCCTTCCCTCCCTTTTGCCCTCTCTGTCCTCTCACATGCACTCTAACCACCCTCTCATCCCCCCACTCCTATTCCATATGTAGGGGAATGTCATCCAGTAGGGGTCATGTAGGTCTGACAGGTCATGTGATGTAGGGACTAGGGCTTCTCTCCTGTCTCTAGATTAAGGCAGTTATCCCTCCATGGGGGATATGTTCGCAAAGTCCTTTTGTGCACCAGGGATACATCCTGGCTCCACTATCTGAGGTCCCTTAGACTGCTCAGTCCTTCTGGCTGAGACCCATATTCAGGGGGGCCTGAGTCAGTCCCATGCTGGCTTCCTAGCTATCAGTCTGGTGGCCTGTTAGCTCCTCCTTGTTCAGGTAAGCTGTCTTTATGTGTTTCTGCTGCCTGGTCTTGTCCTCTCCCTCTGCATCTGAGTTCTACTTCCACTCAGTGTTTATGTATGGGTGTTTGCTTCTGTTTCCAACAGGTATTAATTGAGGGCTCCATGGATAAGTTAGTTGTTGATCTCACTCTCCGGGAAGGGCATTTATGATAGCCTTTCCACGGAAGCTCAAATTGTTAGTTGGAAGCAGTCTTGTAGTTCTCTAGAGTTTTCTTTGTGTTCAATTTTATCTTCAAACCAATATTGGCTCCCTATTTTATGTTCTCTCTCTCTCTGTCTCTCTCTTTCTTTTTCCTGTCTTCTATTCCTAACCAGGCTAAATCTTCCTGGTCGCACATCTTTTCTTTCCTCCCCCTCGTTTTCTCCTACTTCTCTCTCCATTCGCTGCCCCCCCCCCCCGCACTTCCCCTGAGCTCTGGGAGACTTCTTCAGTTCTGTACCCATTTTTTAAATAGGGTTATTTGGTGTTTTGTTGACTAGCTTTTTGAGTTCTTTATATGTTTTGGAGATCAGCCCTTTGTTGGATATAGGATTGGTGAAAATCTTTTCCCAGTCTGTGGGCTGCCGTTTGGTCTTGTCCACTGTGTCCTTTGCCTTACAGAAGCTTCTAAGTTTGAAGAGGACCCATTTATTAATTGTTTCTCTCAGTGTCTGTGCCCCTGGAGTTATGTTCAGGAAGCGGTCTCCTATACCAATTTGTTCAAGGGTACCTCCTACTTTCTCTTCTAAGAGGTTCAATGTGGCTGGATGATGTCTTTGATCCCTTTGGACTTGAGTTTTGTGCATGGTGACAGACATGGGTCTATCTGCAGTCTTCTACACACCCTCATCCAATTGTGCCAGCACCATTTGCTGAAGATGCTGTCCTCGCCCCATTGTATAATTTTAGCTGTTTTGTCGAAAATCAGGTGTTCATAGGTGTGTGGGTTAATATCAGGATTTTCAATTCGATTCCATTGGTCTACCTGTCTATTTTTATGGCAAAACCAGGCTGTTTTCAGAACGATAGCTCTGTAGTAGAGCTTAAAGTCAGGAATGGTGATGCCTCCTGAAGTCCTTTTATTGTATAGGTTGTTTTGGCTATCCTGGGTCTTTTGTTTTTCCATATAAAGTTGATTATTATCCTTTCAAGGTCAGTGAAGAATTGTGGTGGAATTTTAATGGGGATTGCATTGAATCTGTAGATTGCTTTTGGCAAGATTGCCATTTTTACTATGTTTATCCTACCTATCCAAGAGCATGGGAGATCTTTCCATTTTCTGGTATCTTCTTTAATTTCTTTCTTTAGAGCCACAAAGTTCTTATTATGTAGGTCTTTTACTTGTTTGGTAAGCATTATACCAAGATACTTTATGTTGCTTGTGGCTATTGTAAAGAGTGATGTTTCTCTGATTTCTTTCTCTGTCTCTTTGTCGTCTGAAAAGAGTAGGGCTACTGAGTTTTTTGAGTTTATCTTGTATCCTGCTAGTTTGCTGAAGGTGTTTATCAGCTGTAGGAGTTCCCTGGTAGAGTTTATTGGGTTGCTTATGTAAACTATCATATCATCTGCAAATAGAGACAGCTTGACTTCTTCCTTTCCTATTTGAATCCCCTGATTTCCTTTTGTTGTCTTATAGCTTTAGCTAGAACTTCTAGTAAGATATTGAAGAGATATGGAGAGAGAGGGCAGCCTTGTCTTGTTCCTGATTTTAGAGGAATTGGCATAAGTTTCTCTCCATTCAGTTTGATGTTGGCAGTTGGTTTGCTGTATATTGCTCTTATTATGTTTAGGTATGTTCCTGTTATTCCTGACCTCTCCAAGACCTTTATCATGAAAGGGTGTTGAATTTTGTCAAAGGCTTTTTCTGCATCTAGGGGGATAATCATATCGTTTTTCTTTTTCTGTTTGTTTATATGGTGGATCACGTTGATAGATTTTCGTATGTTAAACCATCCCTGCATTCCAGGGATGAAGCCTACTTGGTCATGGTGGATGATTTCTCTGATGTTTTCTTGAATTCGTTTTGCCAGTGTTTTATTGAGTATTTTTGCATCAATGTTCATCAGGGATATTGGTCTGTAGTTTTCTTTCTTAGTTGTGTCTTTGTGAACCTTGGGTACCAAGGTCATTGTGGCCTCATAAAAAGAGTTTGGCAATGAACCTTCTGTTTCTGTTTTGTGGAACAGTTTGAGGAGTAGTGGTATTAGTTCTTCCTTGAATGTCTTGTAGAATTCTGCACTGAATCCATCTGGCCCTGAACTTTTTTTGGTTGGAAGGCTTTCGATGACTGCTTCTATTTCATTGTGGGTTATATAGGTCTGTTTAAGTTGTTTGTCTGTTCTTGATTTAATTTTGTTAAGTGATAGTTATCCAGAAATTTTTCCATTTCTTTTGAATTTTCAATTTTTGTGGAATACAGGTTTTCAAAGTATGATCTGAAAATTGTCTGGATTTCCTCTGTGTCTGTTGTTATGTTCTCCTTTTC